TGTGGCTTGTGGTTTTTATTGTCTTGTTTCAATAGCACCATTTTAGAATTCTGTGCTTGAGTAAGGGCTGCAAAAACTGCAGAGCTGAGGCTGTCCCAGTATCAGCTAAATGATCCCAAACACTCTTCCAAATATTCTTTCTCTGTTCATTGCCTACTTCAAAATATTTGTTCCTTGAATTGTTACAATATGCTTCTATTCAATCATTTAGTGTACTCAACATCTTCTCTTGCAATGCCAAGAACAGTTTTCAGCTTTTCTTTAATACTTTTTAAGCCTTTTTTATAATACAGATAAAAGCCATATAGCCACAAGGAGAAAAAATATTCTGTGTTTTGTTCTCATGTAATTGGTGTAACTTATTTTTCTATCCTCATTCAGAAACATCTGCCTAGCTGTCTCATTAATAGTAATTTTTTTTGTGCATGTGTTTCTTTGGAAGGGTGCAGTAATTAATATTATCCCTCATCTCTCATCAAAATGATGTCTCTTTTTTTTTTTTTTTTTCCAGAGGCAATGTTTCATGATTTAACATCCATCTAATCTTTCTGTTGAAGTAAAAATGAACTCTTAGCCCACATAAATTAAAGAATCCAGAACTGTTTTCTTAAGGTACCATTACGTAAATATTAGACTGCGTTAGTTGGAATCACAGAGTGTAATTTAGATCTCTTCTTGGTAAGGAATATGCTTTGAATTTAAAACTGTTGTTATACTTGAATGGACCTGAAGTAATGAGATTACTGTCCTGAGTGAAGATTATAATGAAGATTAATTTTACATTGTTCTTGGATTAATTTTTCTTTTTTTTTTTTTTTTCACTCTTCCATGGGACAGTATATGACTATGGCAATTCATCTGATGTTTAATCAGAATTACTTGTTGTAGATAGTCTTAGTAATAGCAGGAGTTAAAATAAGTGAAGTATTCAGACAGTTGTACTATTACTAATGATAATAATAATCATTGTGGATGAAGGTGATACACTGCAGAAAGAAAGAGCTGTACAATGATGATATTATACCAGTTTTATCCCTGGCTTTGCCTTACCAGTTGTGGCACAAGTGAGGGCTTCTCAGAACAGCCAGGAATTGCCAAGAACACTTAATTCTGTCATTTTCTCTTGATACAGACCCACATAGTAAAGAAGGGTGATGGCAGAGCAGCTCTCTTGTGTCCTGAGAAGTACAGACTCATCCTTCTGTCCTGTGGATTGACTTTCATGGTGAGAGAAAGGTACAAGTGCCGTACCTGCATTTAAATGCTTCTCTAAGCAAAATGCATTCAACAGCATAAATAATTAAACACTATAAACAAATGACCAATAAAACAGCCTAATAGCAAAGGATGTAGGATACTTGTACTGCATTAAAATAGATCAGGTCTGAAGTGACTGAATTATGCTTTGTCAGGAGGAGAGAGATGTCAATACTGCGGGGCAAACTCTAAGCAATCCAGATACCACAGAGTCGATTCTCCTGCCAAGGACTCCCAGACTGTCTCAAGCAGTGTGGGGAGAGTGGAGAAAATTACATCAAGGACACTCCTAAAGCTGCTCTCAAAATTTTTCTGTGCCATCTGCAGCATATCTTGGTGGTAATTTGCAATGATTGGACTTTGCTCGAGAGTGTTTTAATATTGCCTTACAGGCATGAGGTCCTGTTCCCTGCAAGCAGCATCCCCAAGGGCACCCTTTTCCTTCAGTCACACGCCAATGGGTACAATGAAACGAGGTGTAAGTTAATTTCTTTGTTACACGCAGTGCTGTGAGAAATCTTTGTGTGTTTCAAACATTTTCAATGGAGAAGGGTGTCTTTTTTTCGCTGCTCTTGCAGCTGCCCTGGGACAGGGACACGCGTGTTCCCGGAGCGGCGCTGGAGCCCCGGCTGCGCTCCCCGCCCCGGCTTCAGGGCTCCAAGTGCCACCGTGTGGTGAATTGGAGCGATAATTCCTATTAATTGCAGACATTTCAGTCAGAGCGCCCTTTGCGATCTGAAGAATTTTTTTCCACTGGTGACCTGTGTTTATTAGCTAATTCTGCGATATTCTTTGGGTTTTTTTTCTTTTCTCCAGAATATTTAGTGCAGGCGGTGCAGTTCCCTTTGTCTCTTTGCTGTGTGACCTCCCCACATCACAGCAGAAAAGCCTCGTGTGCCCAGAGGTTGATTGATTGCTGCAGTTTAGTGTGTTCACTCGGCTGGGCTGAGGATGGATGTCGTGTCCTTTCTGTGTCAGTCTGGCAGATTAAAACTCAGTGATGGGAACCATTTCTACGGGGAGATTCCCAGCCTGCCAGTCTGAAGAAAAAGCAAAGAGGATCCTTAACCACAGGATATCATTTCACCAGTTCAGGCAAGCATTGGGTACTGAGATTTGCTCCACTTCTAATCAGAGCTGCTTCACAGATTGTCTGCTAATTTAATGAGTGAATCTGACATTGCCCTTCTTTTATGCTCATCAAAACACTGCCAAGTGTTTTGATGTATTTTAGTTAACATTGATTTATTTTTTTTTTTGTCTCTCTCTCTAGTAAAAATTACATGATTTCTATTTATATACATTACAAGCCCAAGATTCACAGAGAGATGCAGCACTTCATTGGCTGAAAACCAGACAAAATGTCAGGTCTTCAAGCTTTTGGGGACTGATGTTGATAAAAATCTTGGAAAATAAAATATGGATTGAAAAACTTAGTTCCCAGTTAAGCTTCTATTAGTCAGATAGATAATTGGGGAGATAAAGGATTTGGTACTTGTGGAACAGTGAGGAAGTGTTGGCACAAAGAAAGGTGATGATATAATTAACCCCCAGGAGATACAGAGATATAATTATTGTTTGTGGGATTATAACTTGCTGTAAACCTAATCTCTCTATTGAATATATAATGTATATAAATTATCCTGTAATTGTAATTGTCAAGTTCTTAAGCTCAGGATCAAGACTTAAGAGGTCACAGATAAAGTGATTTTTTTTTTTGGTAAGAAATCACCTCCTTTATTAATTTCTGTAGGAGCATGCACTGTCACACAAGTTTGACGTTTTCCCCAACAATTTATACAAAAGCATTGAAAAGTGTGTCATAGGCCAAAGGTAATGCACATTCTCTCCATCTTTTTATGCTGATAAAGACATTCACTGTGGATTCATGTCAGCAAGTGCTGCATTCATGCTCTTGCAGTCTGGATTCAAGCAGTGCCTGGTGGTCTGCCTGAGGCTTCCTGCTGCTGCTGAACTTGAAGTCATGAGATGCTTGGAGTTCTGCTTGGGTAGAAAACATCAAACAAGGAAGAACACATTTTTTTTGCAGCATAATTCAGGTAATTGAGTGAATTATTAAAAGGTATAAAAATATTTGGTCCAATGGACAGAATTTGTCCTACACTGCAGGACACCACAGCTCTCAGCATAAACCACATAAAAAGAAAAAAAGCACCAAAGTACTATTGTTCCCATTTTAAGAGGAATAAGTCACTTTAAAGTTGTATAAAAATTTAAAGGAATTAGGGATAGAGATGCTCTTGATCCTTCTCTTTAAGCAAAAGAATATCACTTTTCCACCTGTACACCATGAAAGAGAGGTTGAATTCTGTTTCAGGTACTTTTCCCAGACTGTTGTCATTTATCCCCACTGATGTGTGTAAACTGCTAATACAATTTAAATGGGCAAAGTTTGAGAAGAGACCAGGTTTGCCAGTTTTTATTGTTTCCCAGGTTCCCTAGGTCATTACAGAAATTACTGTATTGAAATTATTTTATTGATCAAAATAAAATAATACAAACACTTAAGGGAAAATGGTATAAAAATACGTTACAGTGCTCTAGGCTAACTTCAATAGGGAGATCAACGAGGGTCACCTATTACAGGGCAAAGAATGAAGGGCCTGTTACTCTCTAGCCAAGTAGGAAAAAAGATGGTCAAAGAAACAGTATAAAATAGAAACATTTTCCTGCATTCCTACTTCAGTTGGCCTGCACTTACTGTATTTGAAACAAACTTTCTCTTTCCCTTCCGAAGTGCACAGGGGGTAAGACTCAAACTGAGGCAGGGAGTTTTTAAGACATCAGGACCAAGCTCCCAGCTCTCTGAGCCCTGAAGGTTGTCACAATAAATACTACATGGAACTGTGAATAATGGATAAGTACTGTGAGATTTTGAAACATTTACACTAGGTTTACAAGAGCCTTTTGTTTATCAATCACTGCCAAGTTAGAACTCCTGTGGAAAGGTCAAATTCCCTCTTTCCTCTTATTCATTTTGCAGTTTAACTCCTGTAGAGAAGATGAAACCATCTTAAATACAGTGTATTCTCTCTTGTCAGGACTTTGATGTGTGACTTGTGCAGCAAGTTTGCTCCTAAGATTTAAATCCAAAAACCACGAAAGCAATTACTTTGACATCCCTCCAGGTCATAAAAGAAACCCTCTTTTTATGCATTAGAAAGCTTTCTGTATTACCAGCTGTGTATTTATGCATTTTAGAAGGTCTGTGATTCACATCCCTTTCAAAAGAAGGAACTTTCAAAGGAATATGAATTTTGCTTTAGTCATCTTACATGAAATAAGCAGTCCCCTGCTTCCTCTTAGATCAACTTAAATTGTTGGGGTTTGTTCCTATTTTCTGCTTAGCTACTAATAACCATTTTAAAATTGTGGAAAAAAGTTTTAGATCAAAACTGCTGTACTATTGTGTTTTCCTAAAGTGCAGGTGTGTATAACTCCATCTTACCATTAGATGTCACATCAACTTTGAATTCACAGTTGTGGATTGATTAAATATTAAGTCTAATGGAATCAGCTGCTTTAGTTGGCTGGTTTGCAAAGGGGAAGTTTTGGGGTCAGTCCCATGATGTCACTAGAGCAGTTGGCTACCTGATCTTAAATACAGACACACATGGATACGTGATATGTCAAACTATTGCTGATCACACCATTTCCACAAGTACCTGCTCTGCTGAAATCACCATAATTGCCAGGCAAAATATGTAAAATTAATTCCTTAATTACTTGTGACTTAGGTAGCATTTATTAGACAAAAATACAGGCTAAATAATCCACTGTAGAACCTTGAAAAATAATCACTGCAGGAGCTTTGCACACTAAGAAAGCACAGAAAGGGGAAGGCAGGACCCCCATCCCTCCTGCCTCACAGGCAGGACTCTTTGATTACACAATTTAAAAAAAGGGAAGGAAATCAAAGGATTAGTAAGTTCTGTAAAGAAATAAAAATCACACAGAGAGGTAGTTGATATGGCTTCTCCTTTTTTTGGTATCATCTTTGCAACCCTAAGAAAGAACATGAGTAGGTTAGGAAGACACTGCTTTTCAATTATTTGGGAGCAATAGAAAAGTATTTCAGGAAAACTAGTCCAGGTTATGAGAACAGTTATGTGCCTACAACAAAATCGCCATATCAAGGATGTTATTACTGAATTTGAAGTCAAATGAATCTATGGAAATGTATATTTTAGCAAGTGAATTTTGTTTCCCAAAATATTATATATAACATCTGCAGTTACATGAATCGGACAACAGAATAAAAAACCCTCACAGGCACACAGATGTGAAACACATTTGTCACTGCAATTATTTATAGTCTTGTATATGTAATCTTAAGTGGTATTTTTCAAGTTGCCAAAACTGGATATTCAGTATTTCCTTAATTGATGACAAACTACACTGAGATATTTTATATGAATTTATTTCATTATTCCAGCTCAGTCCTCAATGGATTTTATGTATTTCTCATAGGCATCTTCAGTCATCAGTTCATCAAGTTCAGCAGGGTTTGCCACAGTCATCTTGATAAGCCAACCTGTAGTTAGGAAATTAAAAAGAATTGGTAATATCCTACAAGAACAATTCATTCATGTTACTGCCTAGGAAAGCACTCCCAGCAGGAACAACTAGCCTTGTACCACTGGAGAATCAGCCAGCTTTTTGTGCAGGCAAAACAAGATTTCAGTATTTTAAAAAATGAACAACCAACCAACTCCTCTTAAGAAAGAGCTTTTTGAGTCAGAGCAGTTGTGTAATTTTGTGCTGGTTGTGACACTGGCATAGGGAGATGCTGTCTGAAAAGAATAAAGGAGCCTGACCTCTCTCAGTATCATGGTGTTACAAGATCTAAAACCCAGAAATGCAGTCAAGGCAAATAGATTGAATTTCAGCCAAGTGTATATCTGAAAATAAGATGTTGTAAAACAGCTGTTCAAAGATGACACTGTGATAATGTTTTTATGTTAAATTTTACTGGGATTGAACTATATTCAGTATATTCCATTTAAGTCTCCACACCATTAAACTGTAAGAACAGGAACTGCAGAACCATTTGTAGTAGCAAGAATCCACATAGTATTCATTACTGAAAGATAAAAGTGACTTCTTACCATCTTGATAACAGGATTTATTGACAAGCCCTGGATTATCTGCAAGGGCACCATTAATCTCAGTCACTTCTCCTGAGAGAGGGGAGTAGAGTTCACTAGCAGCTTTCACACTTTCCAAAGCCCCAAACTCATCTGAAACACAGAATATGATTGAATGTTTCTAAGGGGAAAACAAAAAGCACTTCCGCTTGTTCAGTCAGACATTCTAGTGATGACCCAACCAGTGAAGAAATCTTGATCTTGATAAGAAAATAGATTGAAGTCACCCATTTTATGACAAGGATCAGCAGTTTTAAATTTGACGTTTATACTCTTGAATTCTGGGGAATTTGTGCTAGCTGGCTACTACAGAAGGGACAGGAATTCCTTACATTTGGCTAATCCTTTGACTAAAGCCCCACAGCACAGATGATAGTGACTTAGAAGAAAAACACCCAGCTCTTGCTGCAAGAGACTTAAATATGCCTTTTATCTACAGTTTAAACCTTTTTTATTTGTAATTTGATTACAAAACCAACACAGCCACAATTTCAGCAATCCAATTTTTCCTTCAGGAACACTATCAAGTGTTATATTTGCACTCACTGGAAAACACACATTAGTATTCAGAGGCACCACACTGGAAGCACCCAGCAGCTCTTCCCTTTTTCCTGTTTTGTAGGGAGTTATGGAAATGGTTCCTGGAGCAATGCTAATCCACAGCAGCTCTCAGCCACAAGCAAACAAGACAGAGGCTGAAGGAACAGGGAGCTGTCAGAAGAGCAGATAGGCACCAGCACAAGGGATCTGAGAACAACTTGTTCTGGGAAAGCTTGGAATTAAACTGAGGCCAGAATGGGTAGAAAAGAGAAGAACTTAAATGGACATTAAATTCCTTCAAATAAAGCAAATCTACAAACTGGTTAATTAAAATCTTACACAGAGAGACCTTTTGTCTAATAGTCAGCATTCAGTATAATAGATTTGGCCAAAGCAGTTTGATAGGGATCTATTCCACAGGAAGGATGGCAGAAGAAAGGCCTTCTGCTTTACCTCATAAACCCCATCTCTTTTTTAAAAATTGTCAGAAGATAATGACAATCTTTTCTTTGTATACTACCAAGACAGCTCTACATGTTAATACAGGGGAAGGCTTTTCATTTCTACCTGTTAAAGTTCACTTTCTTTAACAGGAAAAGTTGCATAATTGAATGATGAAGAATATAATAATTTGTACATCACTAATGAGCAAAAACTCTGATTACATTTAATACCCCAAAATCACTGATTCTCTATATTAATAGAAAAATTAGAGCTTGATATCAATTAGAAGTTTTACATATGCAACTTACAAAGTACATAACTGAAGAATTATAAATAAATGCTTGCAAGTCCAAATCAAAGCAGAAATATTTTAAAAACAGTAAAGACAAAATTATTACAAAAAAGATTTCTAATACTTTATTTTTGAATAAATTTCTTCACAGTTTAAAAAGCAAGTATCTTCTGCTGCTAAGCAGTCTGACAATGAGAATTTAAAATTAAAGCTGTCTCTTGTAGAAATACATGAATTTATTTTGCATCCAGAAGCTTTATAATGGTATTAATAACCATAAATATTATTTCAGAAAATCTATCTTTGCAAAGGAAGAATGGGATGAGTAGAATAATCACTTGAAGAGCAGCTAGAACTGAAACTTACCGTGTTTACTCAATTTTGTCCCAACTTCTGGAAGACTACAGTAAACAACGTCTCCTAATGCTTCCTTAAAAGAAAAACAAAAGCATCAGAGCATACACTAACAAAACTACACACAGGAGAGACCTGATACAGTAACACTAGAGTCTGCATATAAAAGTCCTCTGTCTCTAAATATTGTTCTCATTCTTTACGAATTGCATATTTTTCACTTTTTCTTAGCAAACACTTAGGAATAAACTCTTGTGTTATCATGCCCCAAATACCAAATTATTGTTTCTTTATTACAGTGCTAATAACCCTCAGGCTCAGTTTATATGCAGATTTCTTCTGGCAGGATAAGGAACAACACCTGCTGATCTTCTTAGCATCAGCTACAGAGGGCTGTTAGCACAGTTTGTCCTTACTGACTTAATTGGGGACCCTTATCACCATAAGAATTGGCTTAACTCTTCCCTGACACGTATACTCTATCTCACAAAGGACCTGAAAATATTAGAGTTATTGACAGAAACCTGAGATGAAAAGAAATGCTGCTTGTCCTGAGAAACATTAATTCCATTTATGGCTAACTTGTCCCATTATTTTTATACAGCCCAGAATTTTCCTGTGACTGTTCCAAATCAGGCACCTGCATGAGAACAAAAAGTCCAAAGGAATTCCTGTCCTAGAGTAAGAAATATATGCTATGCTGCACATCTGTTCACAACTGTTCTTTAGCCAGAGGGATTTCACCATCATTGTGTTCAAAGGAAATTTGATCTAAAAACATACATGATGTCCTCTTCACACAGCCATGAATTGCTCAGGCTTAGACCTCAACATTGAAGTTTCTCACAGAGTTCAGCTCTCCACAGGCTCAATTGGAAGCTATTAAGACCTTATCAGAATGCTGAGGTGGCACAAATATCACAAATAATGTGATAAACCCAGGTCCAAAAAATCATGCTCAGTGCATCGCATATGCAATTAAAACAATAAAAAACCTGTAAATGTCCAAAGAGCAAGGACAGAGCAGATAGGCATAAACAAATATTGCAGAGCTGGGAAAGGGGGGAGGATCAATACCTGCGCAAAATTGCTGATTCCTACTGTTCCAATGCCATTTTCCACAGATATCCATTCGTGCTTGTCTGTGAATTTGCGGGCTAAAAGGAAACAAACTTGACATTTCAGAAAGAAGTGACATGTTGCTCACTTAAACACAGTAACACATTTACAGGCTTAAACTGTGGGGCTTTTCACCGAGTTTATTCATTTTTCTTGGAAAATATTTTAACCAGCACATGCAATTTACAGAAGCACAGAACATGCTCAGTGACAGGGCAGAGGCTCACTGGGTGTCCTGCTCAGAGTATTATCGGTTCCTGTGCAACCATCTGGAGACTGATAAAGTACAGGAGCAAAAGGAGCAGCTCTACTTCAAACAGAAGTACAAATCTAAAGCTTAGATGTGTATTTTACTCATACATTTCTATGATAGCACAGTGGCTTCTCAAACATATTTAGTGTTTATTTCTGATAACTACTTTATTATGGCTGGGAAGGCCAGTGTTAGTGACTCTAGAAACACTGTGAGCATTACAGCATCTCTTTTAAAGTGCAAAGCTGGCACAGTTCTATGTAGTATTAAGGCAAATTAATACAGGGCAAATTAATAAAGCAACTCATACAGGCAACTGCTACTTAACAGAATTTGCTCTCTGTTAACATTGTTACTGTGAGAAGAACACAGTCGTTATTCTGTATCACTTTAAAATAGGTCTGTTAAAACCTTGTTAAGTCTTTTTCACGGCAAGGTTACAATTCTCTTTATATTTTAGATCTGGAAGATTCAAGACAGCTATATTAAAGTCAATTGTTTTTATAAAGTCATATGGAGAAACTTCAAAAGAAGTAACTGAAACAAGCAACATTTTTCTTGCTAACATTTTTCCCTGAACTTTTCTTACTTTGAGAATTTTCAGCCTGCCACGTCTATTTTCTCACTTCTACACAATTTCCCTCTAGATACCTTCCTACTTTTCATGGAAATTTTAATTAATTTATTTTTGCAGCTCCAGTCAGGCAAAGGATGTTGCAGAAGGTGGAAAAGGTAACTTCTGAAACAGCTCCCTGAGTCATTAGTGCCAGAGCAGTACAACTGCACCTTCCTTTTGAGTTCAAAATTCTCTCAAGCTCATCCTCTGGGCTGGATTCTATGGCAAACACCAGAGAAACTACACTTCTGCAAATCCTTATATATTTTCTAAAATTGTACACAAAGGAAAACAGATGCTCTCACTGTAGACCTGCTAAAATCTTTCCAGACAGTCAATACTTTAAGCTTCTTCAGTTGCAGTGATCCTCTTGTGTCTGAAAAGTTCAAGAGTAGCAAGTCTCAGATAAAACAATTTTTCTTAGAATCAGGCCCAAGTTTTATAGAGCTCAGAATAACAATATGTGGGTTTGCAAATATAATACACAAACAAACATGAGTAAACTGTAAATATGAAGTATTCTCCCATGAATTATCAGTCAAAAATCTACAGAATTTCATCTAGCAGTACTTATAACTACAAAAAATCTCATTACACACTCTAATGAACAGAGTCTTACGTGTCTCAAACAATTTTGGGTCAAGATGTTAGACCCATGGGAATTCAATTGGAAATGAGTAATGAACCGTAAGAATGGAGAATGACAACTGACAGATCTTAAACCCAAGCTGAACATTAGTGATGTTACACATGACACAAAGAAGCCAACCAGTACATTTTTATTTAGGATAATAATATTGCATAGAATCTGTTTATAAAGCAAGGATAATAAAAACCCAGAAGATTTTCACACGAGTTTGGAATACAGCAGTGAAATGTCCTGAACAGTTAGAAGAGCATGTAACTTTCTTGCAGGACAAACAAAACAAAAAAACAAATCTGAGCATGCAACAAAAACACTGCAAATAAAGAATAAAGTAAAGGTCAAATTAAAAACAGTTAATAAGTAATCTCAAAATTTGAACTTTGAGCTTATTTGGTCAGTCCATTAAATAAATCAACCTAAATGAATATGAAATGTCAATGCATACCAAATCTCTCTCTGCATTCCTTTACAGAAGAGCAGCTGAATTTACTCTAGTTTCATTCATTTCAACAGGACTTTGGTTTCAGCTTAACTAGCACATTCTGAACTCAGCCCTTCATTTAGTGTAACCTGCCTCTATTAAATATTTCATATATACCTGAACAGTGAACTCACACCTCCACAAAGAAGTATGCACAACTTTTCCTCTCTGCCTCAAAGGCACTGTTTCCTTCAAGTGATGTGTAGAGAAAAACAATGAATACATTGACCAGAACAGTGAAAAAAAAGCTTAGATCTTGACTCAGTTTGCAAGTAATAAACAATAAATATTATTTCTTTCACTTGCAGCAGAAGGCAATTAAACAGGTTTAAGATTGTCTGGAAAGAAACAGATGAGCTCTTAGTGGCAGTCATTACTTTTACAGCATATTCTCCTCCTCACCTACTTTTTAAACTTTTCTGTTTGCTAGAGTACCACAGATCATGCTTTTCAGACTTTCATGGGTAACTTCCATTCAAAGACAGCTTTGACAGCAGTAGATGCTTTCAGAATTAACTACACCAAACGCAAACTCTCAGCAAGCACTGATGCACGAGCCCATCCCGTGCCGCTGGTGCAGCTGTGGCTGCCCAGGAGCCAGAGCCAAACTTGTGCAGCCCAGAGGGCTCAAGGCCCTGCAAGCCTGGCTGGATCTCTCTGGCTGCCCACGCCAGTCCCTGCTGCGGCTCTGCCTCCGCCAGACACCCACCCCTGCCCCTTTCTTGTGCTGCTGATGCTCCTGGGAGCCAACATCAAGCTCTTTGGCAATCCCGGGAAAAGCGATCCGCTATTTTGAGCAAGAGAGTGTGCTCCCCGCCCGGCCCACTCCGCGGAGCCCCTTTCTGGGACCAGAAGGAGACTGAGCCGCTTTGCTCAAAGCTGCAGCGTGGAGATGAGGTTAAAGGTTTCTGGCCAACTAACGGAGGTGAAGCTGCTCCTGTGGGAGCGGGGTCGGGAGTGCCAGAGCGTCCGGAGACAGGTGAGGGGGTTCAGCCATCTTGCGATGTTCTCCGAGCCCCGCCGGCACCGGGGGCTCCGGGCGGCTGCAGCATCGCGTTCCGAGGGGCCGTCGGGACGGAGCGGAGGCAGGGAGGGAGTGACGGACGGACAGAGGGACAGAGGGAGGCTGC